TGTATTATATACATAATTTAATCTTTACAGCATCCCTCCCGCCCCGCCCAAGTGGGCTATGCCCTAAAGGTTCTTTCTTTCTTTTTTTTTTTAAATTTTATTTTACTTTAAGTTCCGGGATACATGTGGAGAATGTGCAGGCTTGTTACATAGTTATACGTGTGCCATGGTGGTCTGCTGTACCTATCAACCCGTCACCTAGGTTTTAAGCCCCGCATGCATTAGCTATTTGTCCTGATGCTCTCCCTCCCCTTGCTGCCCCCTACCCAGACAGGCCCCAGTGTGTGTTATTCCCCTTCCTGTCCCCTTCACGTCTCTTGTTAGCTGTATTCCTAGGTATTTTATTATATTTGTAGCAATTGTGAATGGGAGTTAATTCATGATTTGGCTCTCTGCTTGTCTGTTGTTGGCATATAGGAATGCTTGTATTCTTTGCACATTGATTTTTGTCTTTACAGCATTTTTGTTATAGATGAGAAAACAGCCTCACAGAGTGTAAATATTGTTGTAGTCAGCCTCTAAAATGGCCTGTAGTGATTCCCACCTCCTGTTACTCATTGCTCCTTTGTAATCCCCTCCACTTGAGTGTGAGCTGGATTAATGACTTGGTTTTAATAAATGGGATATAGTAGAAGTAATACAATGTAACTTCTGAGATTACATTATAAGAAAACTGTAGTTTCTGTCTTGGGTGCATATGTGGTTTTCTTTCTCCCACCCTCCCAACCATCATGAAAAGAAGTCTAAGCTGTCCTGTGAAGAGAGGTCCTGGATGATAAAGAGAATTTAGGCACCCCAGCCAACAGCTGGCACCAACTGCCAGCTATATGAGTGAGACTCTTCCAGCACCAGTTAAGGCTTCACATGATGGAGCTATAGATGATAGCTTGATTGGAACCTCAAGAGAGATGCCGAGTCAGAACCATCAAGCCAACCACTCCTGAATTCCTGACCATTGAAACTGTGAGATGTTTGCTGTTGTAAACCACTGCGTTTTAGGATAATTTGGTATAGAGCAATAGCTACTATTAATACAAACTACCACAAGTTTCCTTCTAGGATTTCACAGCTAATAAATATTGAAACCAAAATTTGAACTCATATTAATCCAATCCAAAGTTTCTGGTCTGTTTTTCTCAATCTCTTTTACAATTTTCTCTTTCTTTGCCTCTCCCTTGGAGATTTTTATCAGCATTTTATCCTTTAGGTTCTTTTCCTCTCAAAATACACTCTCTGTAAGCAGTGTATTTCTTCTCCTCCTCTTCCCCCTCCCTCCCTTCTCCTTCCCTCCTCCTTCTCCTCCCCTTCTTCTTTTCCTCCTTTTCCTCCTCCTCCTTCTTCTCTTTCTCTTTCTCCTCCTTCTGCTTCTTCTGCTCCTTCTTTATCTCCTCCTTCTTCTTCTGCTCCTTCTTCATCTCCTCCTTCTCCTTCTCCTCTTCCTCATTCTCCTCCTCTTTATTCTCCTTCTCCTTTCTTATTCTTTCTCTGTTTTTCTTCAACAGGGTCTCCCTCTGTCACCCAGGCTGGAGTGCAGTGGCACAATCATAGCTCACTGCAGCCTCAAACTCCTGAGCTTAACCACCCCTCCTGCCCCAGCCTCCCAAGTAGTTAGGACTACAGGTGTGTGCCACCATACCCAGCTAATTTTTAAAAACATTTTATAGAGATGGGGTCTTGTTATGTCACCCAGGCTGGTCTCAAACTCCTGGCCTCAAGTAATCCTCTCATCTCAGCCTCCCAAAACACTAGGATTACAGGCATGAGCCATTTCACCCGGTCCAACTTGTATATTTTTGGTTGTCATCTGTCTGCCAATGATTTTCAAATCTACATTTATAGCATTTATAGGCCAATTTTCCCATACATCTAAATGGGCATTAGAATCCTAAAAGAAAATTCAGCAAACACCATTCTGGATATTGGCCTTGGGAAATAATTTATGATGAAGTTCTCAAAAGCAGTTGCAACAAAACAAAAATTGACAAGTCGAGCATAATTAAACTAAAGAGCTTCTGCACAGTAAAAAAAACTATCAACAGAGTAAATAGACAACCCATGCAAACTATGTATCTGACAAAGGTCTAATATCCAGAATCTATAAGGAACTTAAACAACTGAACAAGCAAGAAACAAATAACCTGTTTAAAAAGTGGGCAAAAGACATGAACAGACACTTCTCAAAAGAAGACATACAAGCTGCCAACAAACATGAAAAAATGCTCAACATCACTAATCATCAGAAAAATGCAAATCAACACCACAAAGAGATAACATCTCACACCAGTTGGAATGACTATTAAAAAAAGAAGAGGCTGGGCGCGATGGCTCATGCCTGTGATCCCAGCACATTGAGAGGCCAAGACGAGTGGATCACCTGAGGTCAGGAGTTCAAGACCAAGCTGGCCAACGTAGTGAAACCCTATCTCTACTAAAAGTAAAAAATCAGCTGGGCGCAGCAGCACGTTCCTGTAGTCCCAACTACTCGGGAGGCTGAGGCAGGAGAATCGCTTGAACCCAGGAGGCAGAGGTTGCAGTGAGCTGAGATTGCACCATTGCACTCCAGCCTGGGCGACAAAGTGAGACTTCATCTCAGAAAAAAATAATAAATAAAAATAAGGTCAAAAACAACGGATGCCAACGAGGCTGCAGAGAAAAGGGAAAGCTTATACACTGTTGGTGGGAATGTAAATTAGTTCAGCCATTGTGGAAAGACTGCTCAAAGAACTTCAAACAGAACTACCATTTGACCCAGCAAAACTACTACTGCGTATATAGCCAAAAGAAAATAAATCACTCTACCAAAAAGACACATGTACTTCTATGTTCAATGCAGCACTGTTCACAATAGCAAAGACATGGAATCAACCCAGGTGCCCATCAATAGTGGATTGGATAAAGAAAATGTGGTACATATACACCATGGACTACTACACAGCCATAAAAAAGAATGCAATCATGTCCTTTGCAGCAACATGGATGAAGCTGGAGGCCATTATCTTAAGCAAATTAACGGAGGAACAGAAAACCAAATACCAATTTTCTTATAAGTTGGAACTAAACATTGGGTACTCATGAACATAAAGATAGCAACAATATATCCTGGGAACTACTAGAAGAGGTAGGGAGGGAAGGAGACAATGGTTGAAAAACTATTGAGTACTATGCCCACTACCTGAGTGATGGGATCAGTCATACCCCAAACCTCAGCATCATGCAATATAGCCATGTAACCAACCTGCACATGTATATTCTTAATCTAAAAGTTGGAATTATTTAAAAGGCAAAAGTAATAAATAAATACAGGTTCATTGGATATCACCACCTTAACGTATTACTAACTCTTCAAACTCAGCAGGTTCAAACTGAACTCACATTTTCCTCCAAATCTACTACTACGCCTGTTTTCTCACTCAAGGAATGACATCTACCAGTCATCTACTTACCTAATCTGAACTACGGGAGTCGATCGTGACTCACCTTCTCCCTTAGCCTTCACATGCAATCATTGACCAAGTCCTATTAACTTTAGTTCCATAAATCACCAATGGGTTCACAGCTCTTCGTCTTTACTGATGTCACCTGGACTGCTGCAGCACTCTCCTGATGCACCACTCTGCCCCATGTGTTCTCTCCCTTTAGTGTTTTTCAGACTTCTAGGTTCAACCTATCAGTGGTTCGTGGAAATTAGTTTGGTGGTTTGTGACCAGAATTCTTTTTAAAATGAAATAGCATAGGAAACATTAGTGTGTATAACAGTAGTACTGTTTGATTTGCCTATTGAGTTATAAAACATATTTCTCATTACTGGTTTCCATCAATGACGTTTCGAAAACATTGGTCCATTTTTTTGTACTACAGCCAAAATGGTCTTTCCAGTCAGATCATGTTATTCACTCCTTGTTTAAAACCCTTCAGTGACTTCTCAGTGTCTTCCTGGTAGAGTTGAAACTCCTTAACACGCTGTGTTAGGCCCTTAATGACCTAGGCCCAGCTTACCTCAAGCATCATTTCTCTTCATTCTTCTTCCTGCATGTAAGCTCTAGCCAAATGAAATCATAGTTCCATAAATATACTCTTAATCTTGCTAGCTCTTAAGCATTGCTATATACCATTTATTCTTTCTGGAGTGCCTCCTTATCCCCATCTGTGACTCCATATCATACTTCAGGTATGTTTAGCTAACACCTTCTCCAAGAAACCTTCCTTGACTCCCCAAAACAGGGACAGGACTATTCCTGTATGTGCCCATGGTAACCTGTATTTATCCCTATCAGAGCACTTACCACATCCTATTAAAGTTGCCTGTTACTTATTTTCTTATTTTCATACCAGACTGTAAGTTTTTTGAGGACAAAGACTGTATTTTGTTCATCATTGTATCCCAAAGCCTAGTACAGTGCTTCACACGTAACATGTGCTCAATATATAGGGGAAGAAAAAGCATGTTGGACTGATTCGCTGTTTTAAGGATACATAAAAATACTGCTTCACCTGGCATGGTGGTGAGTACCTGTAATCCCAGTTACTTAGGAGGCTGAGGCAGGAGGATAGTGTGAGGCCAGAATTTTGAGGCTTGTCGTGCACTATGATCGCACCTGCGAATAGCCACTGCACTCTAGCCTGGGCAACATAGCAAGAGCTTATCTCTTTAAAAAATAGACTACTTCTCAAAACAATTTACCTGCCATGTCTATCTTGTTTTTAATAATAGGGTGGTTCTATTACATGTAACATGTGGTATTATATAATAATGTGGTATGCATGTTTGAAAATGTATAAATGTTTCTATTTTGCTTAAATATGATAGACTATATAAAAGGAATGTAAAGTGATGTCGTTATAGAGTATGGTATATTAAACTTACTAAAAAATCATTTGACTTTCAAATAGAAATTGCTGAATGGTTGAACTGAAACACAGATTCCACATTTATCACATTTGCTCAAATGTTTTATACTTGTAAACAATGTTTTTAAAGAATCTCTTCCATTTTACACTAGAATGCTCCAGAAGTAAATAATGAAAACAGTGAAACATCAACTGAAAAATCAGAAAACACCATTATACAGAAATGTAATACTGAGCAAGAAATAAGGGAAGAAAATATGGAGAATTTTTGTTCAGATACTGAATACAGAGAAAAAGAAAAGAAAGAAGGCTCATTTATAGAGGAAATCATTATAGAAGGTAACCTTAAAATTATATTGGTATTTTCTTATTTGTATGTTGATATTTACAGTAAGTATTTTTGAGAAAATTACATTTCTGTCTCCCCTCTTCATGACTTATTCCTAGTCTTTTTGCATTCTGGTTTCTGCCTTCACTATTTTGCTGAGAATGTTCTTGGAGTCACTAGTAACCTTCTGATGACTAGACCTAGGGCATTTTTCTGAATTCAGATAACCTTTCTGTAACCATTGGAATAATTTATTAATTCTTCCATCTTGAAAAAGTATTGTTTAAAGATGATACTGATTGGAGGTGTTCAAACCTAGGCTGAACAACCACTTGGTGGAGATGTTGTAGAGAGAATGATTGGACTTCAAAAAAATCTTTCAAAAACCTGAAATTTATATTCTAGATTAACTATATTAAAAAGTTGAAATATTTGTTAGAATATAGATGAATAAAATTTATGTCTTAAGTAGATAATTCTATATACTTGTCCAAAAACTATTCAAGAATTTAAAAATATTCACTGGGTAATGAATAAAAGTGATGATTGTCAGTCTTGAAGAAGCCAGCTAGCAATTTCTAGATACAGCTGGACCTAGGTAGTAATGGAAATCAGAGCGTAACCTGTTATGATAAATTAATTTTTATCAGCTATGTATTTATGTGGGATTGTACTGTATGTCCTAAATGAAGCAAATAGACGAGAAAAGTAAACCATTTTGTAATACCTCAACTCACTTTCCCTTTAAAAAACCAAAAATACTTTGCTATTATGAAATTAAAGTTTAATATGGGTACAGCCAAATATTCAGCATGCTAAAGATATACTTGTTATAACAAAGGGAACCCAGTATTTAGGTAATGTTGATGTCATTAAGTTTGTATAATTATTGACCCATAAAATATTTAAGGTTAAATTTGTTTTTATAAAAATAGGTGATAAATATGTTTTATGAAATCAGGCTTTAGTGTATAATATAAAATTTTACTGTGTTCCCATCATGACAGATTTACAGCTTTTTGAAAAAAGCTTCAAGAATGAAATTGATACTGTTGTTTCTCGGGATGAAAATCAAAGTGAAATGTCCTTAAGCAAAACCCTCTCCTTAGATAAAGAAGTAATTAGTCAAGTACAAACCTCGAATGTTATGGACAATAAAAAATCAGTTACTACAGAAGTAAAAGACAAGATATGCTTGGAAAAAGACAATGGATGTACAGAATTTAAATCACCAAATAATCCTTTTGTTGTGTTAGATACAACGACAGAAACAGAAAAAATACACCTAGAAAGAACCAGAGGATTAGATGTTCACCATACAGATGTACATCCAGAGGTTGAAAATAACAAAACACCATTTAACAGTAATTTAAATGAGACAGCACACAATACATATAGTAATAATAATAATAAAGATGTTTCTGAAAATGAGCCATTCAAACAATTCAGATCGCGTCCAGGGACTCGAGAACATGCTCTAGAGAAGGAAATTACAAATAGTGACCAAACCAAAGCAGATTTGGATTTATCTCTAGATATAAAAAAAAATCTTGTTCCATGTCAGAAATATAGTTTACAGAATTCAAGTAATGTTATGTTAGATGATAAACAATGTAACATAAAACAAATACAACTGTTAACTAAAAAAAGTGAGTGCAGCATATTACTTTGTAAACAAACTTCAGATTTTCTGCAAGTCTGTAATGATACTTCAGAGAAACCTGAACTAACTGTTACCTGTGATACAGTAATCGACCACCACGTTTCATCTGCTGCTTTTAGTGATAATTCAAAAGTACTTCTTAAGAACTCAGATAAAAATGTTAATAGTATGCCTATGTTGGTGAAACCCAACTCAAGCCCTGGGGGAAAAACTATGTGGAAAAACATGAGTGATATGCAAAACAGTCAATTTAATAACTGTTTGGGATACTTAGAAAACAATAATGTGAACATTTCCCATCTTCATCTTAACAATGAGAATAGTCATTCTTTACAAGCCAAAGATGTGAAAACTGCTGTTCACATGAAAACTTGCACAGAAATACAGTTTTCTAATAAAAATAATCAGATTGATGAGAATCAGGTAACTGAAGCCACAAAAAGTGACCTCTTCCTTGTTGTGAGCATTAATGAAAGACAGCATACATTGTTAAATAATACAGAGAAAAGAGAGTCATTAAATGACATTGTTTCAGGAAAAATGTTCAGTAAAGGACAGCTGGAGGAATCACATTCATTTCACATAGAGCCATCTGGAGATTTAGTAAACAGAAGCGGAAGGTCAACCTTTGATCTTTCAACTTCAGATAAAAAAACTGAGAAAACTCCAGTATACATGAATTTTTCAGACCCCGGTCCTTGGTCAAAAGTAAATCACATTGAAAGTCAAACAGCGAGCAGTTCAACCCCTAGCATTTCTTTGTTGCTGAAAGAGAGACCACTAGATCCATCAGAAAACAAAAAGATCATTCCAATGGCTCTTTGTAAAAATATTGGTGTGGATGATGTTGGAAAGAATATTGGACCAGGTAAGAAAAAAGTAATGTTTTAATTCTTAAAATATTTTTCTACTTATTCTTGATGAATGTGTACAATCATATTTTGTAAATTTTGTTTTAAAAGTTTGTCTTAATTAAGGAATAGCAAAAACAACAGATGTGGGTCATTATTTTAAATTAGGAACAACTACCTAATATTCTTTTGTTTTTTAACTTTTAGAGCAAATGCAGTGAAGTAGTTAAGGCTTCTGCCAAGTGTGCATATTTATTGCTCTTCTTTCTATACGCTCATCATTCATCCTTAAAAACTTTCTTCCCTCAGAACATTTTAGTTTATCTCCTGTGTTGTCTTTCTTTGCCCAATTTTCTCTCCCTTTCCTTAATTTTTCTATTTTTATCTGTCCCTTCACCCACACCAGAAATCCACCTCTTCCTTCTGTTTTATAAGTAATAATGAGGCATGACATTAATATATTTCCTACGACCAGTATTTGTCAGTTGAAAACACTTTAAATTGAATTCCTTAACATATATTAATGCATTCAGATGTTAAAGAGAATAGAGGGATTGTTCTGTTCTTAAAAACTGCCATATGAAATGACATACTGTCCAAGTTTTATTTTAAAATACTCCAGAAAAAAATAGGGGGAGAGGTAAATGGATGAAATACGTGACTTAATATTGATGGAATACATTGAAATACATGGCTGTCTACATTTTTGTTTTGTTTTGTTTTTTGTTTTATTGATTGATTGATTTTTGAGATAGAGTCTTGCTCTGTCACCCAGCCTGGAGTTCAGTGGTGTGATCACAGCTCACTGCAACTTTAACCTCCCAGGCTGAAGGAATCCTCCCGCCTCAGCCTCCTGAGCAGCTAGGAGTACAGACACGTCACTGCACCCAGCTAATTTTTAAAATTTTTTGTAGAGACAGTTCTCACTTTGTTGCCGAGGCTAGTGTTGAACTTCCAGGCTCAAGTGATCCTCCTGCCTCAGCCTCCCAAATTGCTGGGAGCCACCACACCCGGCCTGGAAATTTTTCACGAAAGAATTTAAAAACGAAAACATACTACATTATCATGAATTGGTGCTGTATAAATGTAAATTGAAAATAAAAAGCAGTAGTTTAAGAAGTATGATCATGAGGAAAATGGTTTTTTATTGTTTTTATTTTCAGGACAGCATGTTTTCTTTTAATAGCAATCTCATAGTCAAAAGTTGCGGAGGTTGTTAAAGGCATTCTTAGATTTTAAGGGAACTTTGTGGGTTTAACATTGTGCACTTAGACACCTTAAAAAGATGCAGATTCCAAGGAAAGCTTTTGTATGGCCCTCAGATTTAACAGGCTTCTTTTAAAAAGGAAATTGAGAAAAATGTAAAGAGAATATTTGGTGATTAAAAACAAAAATATATCTTGTTTACTAATACCAATGGGAAATAATGTAGGCAAAAATCAAATAACCAAAACACTGTATAACCTCATTTCCCAAACTGCAATTTTTCAGTGCCACAAAATATATTACTTAAAATTCCGTTAACTTTTGGTTAGGTACTGCTTTAGGTGCTGGTCTAAAAATCTGCCATTTTTTCTTAAGTCCTTTCTTGTAAATTAAATTTCAGTGATATATAAGATATAAAGGGCGATACCTAAAATTCTGTAGAAATTCAACTTGTAAAATACTCTTAAATATGCCATCAGTATCTTTTAACCTTTGTAATTTACATATTTCTCTAACTAATTTCTATCAATTTATTAAAACCCAGTGTGACCCCTTCTAAGTAACCCTTTGTTGGATTTCTCACTATGGCCAATTTCTTTAAATAGTTTATAAATCTGGCATGTAGTTGGGTCTGACTTTTTCCATTAATCTCAGTTGGTAAAATGTTCACTATATAAATGCTTACATTTGTGGGAAATACAGTAACCAGGGGAATAATGATAACATGAGTTATTTTGTTTTAGAAGGTATTTATACCATTTCTTTCACTGCTTTTAATGTAGAATTCTAGTAATTAGGTTTTAGAAAGTAGCAATAATAAAATCTTGCTTGTTTTCAGAAATGAAATGCCTAATATAAGCGCAAAGTCTAGGAAAACTGCAAAATAGTCAACATTAAAATAGAAATTTGTTGCTTTTTAAATACAAAAGCATAGGAGAAACAAGTTCAGTCACTAAAATGAGTACCTAGAGAAAAATTCAGTTGCTGTCATTTCCTCTTTGTCAATCAGATACTACCAGCATTAACAGAGTTGCTGACACTTTGAATAACTGGAGTATCCATCCAGATCCCACGGGAGAACCCAGTGAAGAGAAGAATGCAATTGCAAAGACTTTTTATGATTCTTCTTTTCCCACAGAACATGTAAGTCAATTAAAAATATTGCCGAGCAGACCTTAGTGAGCTAATTCTACAGATATGTGTAGAACTGTATGCATCTGGATGCTTTAAGACCTAACTGATCTCCAAAATAATATCAAGAGGGCAACATGGCACCATTTTTCACAATTAAGGTTGATAGAAAACAGCAGGAAAAAGTCACAGTGTATAAATCAAATAGATACAATCCAGCCTGTTTTGGGAAGGAGAGTGTGAGGCATCAGATATGTACTTCTATTTTTTACTCATCTAAATTTGGAAATAGTGGTATTTGAGCATTTAAAATTTTATGTTAATAAAAGATGTCTAAAAGCTAATCAAGTCCAATTGTTTTTAATAATGCTTAAGTTAATTTACATTATTTTTGGAAACTGAGATGGAAAGAATTTAAAACTATTTCAATTAGAACACGTGTGAAAGGATCAAGTATCCACGTGATACTGTATGGATATATGTATTAAAGTATTTGTAAAAATTATATGGCTTCCAGGAGTCTATTTGTCATAAGGAAATCAACTAACTATAGCAGGAAAGTTATCTGGTTAAATGTATAAATTTTATATCATAGTGTGTAGAACTTTAGCAAGAAAAAGGTTGTAGCGTTCAAACTATTAAACAACTTTCTCTTTAGCACATACAAAACGATTATTATAGTACTAACACATCCTTAACAAATAACAGCTTTTAACAATGTATTTTATTTTCCTTTATAAATAGGAGAAACCTCAAGTGAGATAGTATAACTCTTCTGGGAGAGTTGAGACAAAAATTAGGAACTATCCTTGATATGGTTTGGCTTTGTCCCCACCCTAATCTCACCTTGAATTATCAATCCCACAATTCCCATGTGTCATAGGAGGGACCCAGTGAGAGGTAACTGAATCATGGGGGCAAGTCTTTCCTGTGCTGTTCCCAGATAGTGAATAAATCCCACAAGAGCTGATGGTTTTAAAAATGGGAGTTTCCCTGCACAAGATCTCTTCTCTCTTGCTGCCGCCATGTAAGAATTGCCTTTTGCCTTCCACCATGATTATGAGGCCTCCCCAGCCATGTGGAACTGTAAATCCATTAAACCTATTTTTCTTCCCAGTCTCGGGTATGTCTTTATCAACAGAGTGAAAACAAACTAATACAGTAAATTGGTACCAGGAGTGGAGTGTTGCTGAAAAGATACCCGAAAATGTGGAAGCAACTCTGGAACTGGGTAACAGGCCAAGGTTGGAACAGTTTGGAGGGCTCATAAGAAGACAGGGAAAGTTTGGAACTCCCTAGAGACTTGTTGAATGGCTTTGACCAAAATGGACAATGAAATGAAATCCAGTCTGAAGTGATCTCAGATAGAAATGAGGAATTTGTTGGAAACTGGAGCAAAGGTTACTGATCATGTTTTGCTAAAGAAATTGGTAGCATTTTGCCCCTGTTCTAGAGATTTGTGGAACTTTGAACTTGAGAGAGACGATTCAGGGTATCTGGCAGAAGAAATTTCTAAGCAGCAAAGAATTCAAGAGGTGACTTGGGCGCTATTAAAGGCATTCAATTTTATAGGGGAAACAGCATACAAGTTTGGAAAATTTGCAGCCTGAACAATATGATAGAAAAGAAAATCCCATTTTCTGAGGAGAAATTCAAGCTGGCTGTGAAATTTGTGTAAGTAACAAGGAGCTGAATGTTAATCTCCAAGACAATGGGCAAAATGTCTCCAGGGCAAGTCAGAGGTCTTCTTGGCAGCCCCTCCCATCACAAGGCCAGAGGCCTATGAGGAAAAACTGGTTTTGTGGGCTGCGCTCAGGGTCCCTCTGCTGTGTGCAGCCTAGGGACTTAGTGCCCTACATCCCAGCCACTCCACCCATGACTAAAAGGAGCCAAGGCATAGTTCAGGGCATTGCTTCAGAGGGTACAAGCCCCAAGCCTTGGCAGCTTCCATGTGCTGTTGAACCTGCGAGTGCACAAGTCAAGAATTGAGGTTTGGGAATCTCTTCCTAGATTTCAAAGGATGTATGAAAACGCCTGGATGTCCAGGCGGAAGTTTGCTGCAGGGGCGGCGCTCTCGTGGAGAACCTCTGCTAGGGCAATGTGGAAGAGAAATGTGGAGTCAGAGTCCCTATAAAGAGTCCCTGCTGGAGTGCTGGCTAGTGGAGCTGTGAGAAGAGGGCCACCATTCTCCAGATCCCGGAATGGTAGATCCGCCAACAACTTGCACTGTGCACCTGGAAAAGCCAGACACTCAATGTCAGCCCGTGAAAGCAGCCGGAAGGGAGGCTGTACCCTGCAAAGCCACAGGGGTGTGGAGATGCCCAAGACCATGAGAACCCACCTCTTGCATTAGCGTGACCTGGCTGCCATGCTGGATTTTGGACTTTCATAGGGCCTGTAGATCCTTTGTTTTGGCCACCCTATTTGGAACGGCTGTGTTTACCCAATGCCTGTACCCCCACTTTGTATCTAGGAAGTAACTGACTTGCTTGTGATGTTACTGGTTCATACGTGGAAGGGGCTTGCCTTGTCTCAGATGAGACTTTGAACTTTTGAGTTAATGCTGAAATAAGACTTTGGGAGAGTGATGGGAAGGCATTATTGGTTTTAAAATGTAAAGACATGAGATTTGGGAGGGGACATGGGCAGAATGATATGGTTTGGCTATGTCCCCACCCAAATCTCATCTTGAATTACAACTGGTCTCACAATTCCTACATGTTGTGGGAGGAACCTGGTGGGAGGTAATTGAATCATGGGGGCCGGTCTTTCCTGTGCTGTTCTCGTGATAGTGAATAAGTCTCATAAGATCTGATGGCTTTAAAAGTGGGAGTTTCTCTGCACAAGCTCTCTTTTGCTGCCGCCATGTAAGAATTGCCTTTTGCCTTCCACCATGATTATGAGGCTTCCCCAGTTATGTGGAACTATAAGTCCGGTAAACCTATTTTTTTTTCCAGTCTCCGGTATGTCTTTATTGGCAGCGTGAGAATGAACTAATACACCCTTTTCACATTTTCCTGAACTTATAAGCAACAGTATAGTTTCCACTTGGTATGTATAAGTGTGTATCATTAAAATGTGTTGACTAAACGGCAGTAACTCTGGCATTGGAAAATCTAAGTTTTAACCTTGCCCAATTGGGTAAGTCATAGAATCAAAACAAACATGAAGCTTGAGGGCATCAAAACTAAACATCCGTTTCTAATTAGGGTGAATCCTTAACCCTTATAAGATAGCTGTTCTACTTTCAAACAGCGGAAATTTCACATCTCACTTGAAAGCCCATTTTTATAATTAATCTAATATGGGACAGTGACATAAATGCGAAATAACTTTCCAGGGTCATTAAGTCACAACATGTGGTGGACCTAGGCTAGGTATCGTGGCTCTTGGTCAAATGCTATATTATACTTTAACTTTCACATAGAAAAAATGTTTCTTCTCAAAGATTGGTGCATATAAAACAAACTCAGTTCACTGGCTGAATAGACATTTTCTAAGTGCTTATTACTATGTGCAAGTACTATGGTAAGCTTCCTTGTCCCAGCTTAAAGCTTGATTGCAAATTATCATGTAATGTGGGGCAAATCCAAAAGTAGATCTCCTTACAAATTTAATAGACCACAGCCACACCCATTCCTTTGCATACTGTAAAGACTATTTTGGCACAGCACTGAGAATTGAGCAGTTTTAAGAGGCCATTTGGCCCTCAAAGCTGAAAATATTTACTCTGGCCCTGTTTGGAAAAAGTTTACCAACCTCTGTTATAAATGAATTTTATGAAGACTTACAGCCAAAAAATAGTTTTTTACTTTTCAACATATTTTGTATACAGTCCACATCAATTCTGTTAAATTCAGGGAAGGTATTAAGTACCAATCCACTTTCTCTCTATGGGTTCAAAGTAACTTGAAAAGATGGTATGTTTTTCATTGTTTTTGGCATTAGGTTGTTAGCCTACTGCAATCTTGATTATATCCAGGAATGAGGATGAAAGACCGGAGTAAGCAAAGCAAGCCACTTACTTTTTTTTTTTATATCCAATGAATTAGATTCATTTAAGTTAAATTTTAAAATATAATCCCAGGCAGAAATAAAAGGACTAGTACCAAGCTAGGGGAAATTTTTAGGCCAAAAATGAGATCTTGTAAGTCAGGTTGAAAGAGAAACAGGTGATAAATTTCTAAAAAGGATAGAAGGGGAAAGAACAAAGATACAAGGCAATATATCTGACAACAGCTAGAATTAAAATTACTGCAGTAGGCTGCAGAACCTTCAGGTAAGTTAAACAGGACAAGTTTTGTTAAGTGCAAACATTAGCTAATCTACACTATATCTTGTTTCTCTAAAGTCAATCCCTGCTCCTACCCATCTCAGCAAGTGGGTAGTTAAGAGGAAGGACACTAAAGCAATTATGTGTAAATGTGTTCTTCCTTTCCATCATCAAGATAAAAAAGTCAAAGAATCAGGATTTTGGGAAACTATTAATTTGTACTTGGATGCCAAATACACCAAAATGGACCTAGCATTTTGATGGCAAAATAGAAACATTAAATCATACAGATCATCAGTCATTTTACTTCAGAATTAGTAGCAACCTAGATTTAGATTTCACCTAGTTTTCCCTGTCTGTTTTTCATGTTGCATGAATTAGAATCCTTTCTGGCCCCATGGGCTAAATGAAGTATGGTGAACACACTTACATAGCAGACACTATCAGAAATATTTATGTACATTTTTATCCAATTATTCTTTCTGGTAATAGCATCTGGGAACTAAAAGAAGCTAATGAATAAACTGAAGCCCAGAAAAATTAAATGACTTGCCTAGGTTCTCTTAGCAGTCCTGTGCAGACACTTTTGGAAGAACAAAGCCAATTAGACAAATATGAACAAAGAATCACCCCAAAAATCAGAGGTAAAACTCTGAGGGGACTAGTAGTTGACTACAGAATTTTCAGGGAGGGAACCAAAAAGAGCAATCCAAAAAGAATACTCCTTAGGGAGCCGTGAACTTATCATTCTAAACATTTAAGTTCATTTTAAAAATAAACTTATTACTAGGCCAGGTACAGTCGCTCACGCCTGTAATCCCAACACTTTGGGAGGCCGAGGCAGGTAGATCATGAGGTCAGGCGTTCAAGACCAGCCTGGATAACATAGTGAAACCCCGTCTCTACTAAAACTACAAAAAATTAGCTGGGCATGGTGGTGGGTAAATCTGTAATCCCAGCTACTCGGGAGCCTGAGGCAGGAGAATCGCTTGAACCTGGGAGGTGGAGGTTGCAGTAAGCCGACATGGCACCACTGCACTCCAGCCCGGGCGACAGAGCAAGACTCCATCTCAAAAAAATAAAATAAACTTATTACTACATAATCTTAACACTGAAAATGACAATGTTACTAACATGCCACTTTTACCAGTCAAATTGAAAAAGATTTTAACGTAAGGCAGTACTCAAAGATCTTCACAAAAATTTATGAACGAATGATATTCACTGCCGCCTAGTTAACAGTGACCATTTTCTTACAATTTAAATGTCCAGAAATGAATTGCAGAACACAGAATATGATGGAGCTATCCTCTTAACAAACTTAAGAACAAGAGGAAATGCTAAAAATGTTTAATACAGCATATAAGCCAATAAAAATATAACTCCAATATTTAAAAAGTGGATAGAGAAAAGAGACCAGAAGATTTACACAAATTCTTTAATAGTGGTTGGGATCTTGGGTGATTTTAATGTAATTCTTATCCTGTTCCAGATTTCTAAAATACACATGTATACCCCTTACAACTAAAACATAACACAGTATGGCTCACTCCTGTAATCCTAGAACTTTGGGAGACCGAGGTGGTCGGATCACTTGAGCCCAAGAGTTAGAGAGACCAGCCTGGGCAACATGGCAAAAAATACAAAAATTAGCTAGGTGTTTTGGCACATGCCTGTAGTCCCAGGTACTCAGGAGGTAAAGGTGAGAGGATCACCTGAACCGGGGAGGTAAGGCTGCAGTGAACTGTGATTGTACCACG